CTTGAAACATTTCAAAGTGCCTAAAAGTAGCTCAAAAAGGAAAATCATAATAGTTGTTGACCATAAATATGGTGTATTAGTTTTCATTACAAGATAATACAGATTATTTTGTGCTGGAGGGATATACATGCGCAGATCTTTCTGAAGCACCCATCCAAAATGGCTGAATAATACAAGAATTGTATTTGTATTTGTATTTGTAATTGTATTTATTACTTCTAGTAGCTTTTCCAACTGCATGTACCAAGAAACTGGTGATAGCAAATAAAGCATGATTTTCTCCTATCAGAGATCTTGAGAGAATCAAAAGTAAACCCCACCAATCGTATTCATAAATACAATAGAGAGTAATAGGTAATTTATATGAATATTCATATATTGAGCTCAGAAAATGGGCACCTTGTTATTCATCACTTTAAAACATGTTTATAGAATACAAATATATTGGTTCTTGGGGTTTTTTTCCTAATGCTGATGAAAATGAATAGTACTTGGGGACCAAGTCTGCCTATTAAAGTGATGTGATACATTACCATGCTTGTACAGAAATGAGCACAGATGGCGGGTCTATTATTTCTCTAGCAAGAAATTTGTCATTTTTTTTCCCCAGGATTCAAATTTGAGTAACACTTGCTTAAGTCACACTACCTCTGTGGGGATCCTTAAAATACTTTTCCCATTACTTGTACATTAGGGGTTAGAGAAACAGCAAGTGATTAATGCCATATTAAAACTTTAAAATGAATGAAGTCTCTCAAACCAAGAGTCTGAGATTTTTATATTTCCTCCCACCCCCAAATAAAGAGAAACAAATTTTGCATATAAATGTGAGTCTACAGGGACGAAGTTTTGTGTGCCATGTTCAGATTCCCAATAGCCTGTTTAGCTTTGACAGATCATTTCATTTACATTAGAATACTTGAAGATGTTAGATTTATAGACATTTGTTAATTAAACACAATTATGTAGAGTATGAAACAACTTATGAGTAATTTATAATTTTTGTAGGCAAAAGATACCATTTCAAGACAGAGTAGATTAAACAAAAATATGTTGACTTTCATAATCTTACTTTTATGATAAAAATCAACAAAGCAATATTTCATAAGGTTTTGTCAATGCTTTATTATACACCTGAAGAAAGAAAAATGCCTTATGCCTTTCAGTATGCCTTATGACTTGTCAGAGCATATAATTACAACAAGCTCAAAGTTAAATGAGAGTTTTTAATGTCAATTGGTCAAAGCTGGATCACCTTGCAGCAAAAGCAAATTTAATATGGGTTAGGAAGAAAAATGCAAACATAAATATTCATTTACTTCAATACATTGAGGGTGCTCACATTTGGGTATTCATTACACACTGTCTCTACCACTCTTCCTCCTCACACTCTTCCCTTGCTCCAGCCCAGAGTCCATCCTATGGGAGTCAGCTGTCCATAAAATTGTCTGACTTGGGTCCTTATAGTCTGCAGTTCTTCACAAACTGCTCCAGCCTGGGTCTTTTCCACAGAGTGGAGTACATCAGGAACAGGCTGCCCCAGTGTGGGTCCTTCCAAGGGTCACCTCCTAGCAAACCTGCTCCAGCATAGACTCCTCTCTCCATGGGTCTACAAGGCTGTTTCTCTCATGTTCTCAATTCATCTTATCTACCTCCTCTTGCTCAGCAGCTTTTTCTCCATTTTAAATATATTGTCACAGGAGTACTACCACCATCACTGATGTGCTGGGGCTTGGCCAGCAGTGGGTTGGTCTTGGAGCAAGCTGGCATTGGCATCCTGTCCCAGAAGCCACTTCTGCAGCCATCCCTGGTCTTTGCTTTTGCCAAGCAACCCAAATATATGGGCAATATATTCTCCCAAATTGAATTCCATTTAAATGAATCTTAATTTTTGAAATCTGGCTCTTAATTTTTCATATGTGATGGTTACTCACGGTTACTCCTGGTTCTCCTGGAGGAGAACTCACATCCTGAACCTGGAGGATCAATTTCAAGACTGAAGTCTTGGAATACAAAATTTAAAACTCTCAAAGGAGTAAAATCTTTTCAAAGCTTGAATAACAACACATCACTTCAAAAGTATAAGGATTTTTTAAAGGAGAGAAATTTCAACTCCTTTAAGAGTCAAAGTGGGAATATGGTAAATATCTGGTAAATTTGATTAATCAGAAAACTTTGGAATGTGTAGTGAGTATATCAGTACTGGGTCCAAATAATTGGTATATAAGGATTGGTATTATCTTGTCGCTGTTGAGGCAGGACGGGAATGAGAAGACTCACTCAGAAGGCTGCTGAGAGTAAAACTCAGGCTTCTGCCTGGCTAGAAACTCTCAGTTTCTCTCTTTGACTGAATCTGAGACCCACATTATCTCTATTGACATAAACTTGTATGTTAATTGGGATCTTTTGGAGCCTGTAACAGACAAAAATGACAGGAGAATAGGATGAAATATGTCAGTTTTCACATTCACATGAAAATGTGTCATTTTCACAAACAAGGGTTTGAAGAGTTGGGGGCAGTCAGTGTTTTTCTGAAAGTTCTAGGTGGAAGGGTATACTGTTCTGTTTGGAAATGTTATGGAGGATAAGGAAGCCTACAGGCAGCAGAAAGCAGGGAAAATAAATTCATTATGTAGGCCCCGAAAAAGATCATGCGAGCTGTTGGTGAGAGAAAAGTCAGTAGAAAGATGGTGGAAAGGTGCTAAACAGTTCAGAACAAATAAGAAAAAGTAATACCAAGGTTGTTACTACCAGTACCTTTTGATCTGAATATTTGTTCAATGCAAATGGACTTAAAGATGTTGTGTTATCAAGCACTAGTGTGCTCTTGTCACTGTTTCAATGCACGTCACCTCTGCTTCAGCTTCTTACCCTTCCCCACTCTGAGCTGAAAAAAGTTGAGGAGGAATTTAGAGAATGTTGACTCTGAAGAGGTTGGAGAACATGACTGAAACTCCTAATATCAGGTCCACTCTCAAGACAGCATTACTTTCCCAGCTACTTTCTCTCATGTGAAAGAAGGGAGTCAGACCTACAGCAAATACCAGTTGTGCAAGACTTCTGATTTCATTGTAGAAATAGCTGAAAAAGAAATGATAGCCTTGAATGAGTCATTGCCAAATGAATCATGAGTCATTGCCAAATAATTCTCAGGTGAGTGAAGCTAATAAAATGTAGTCTAGGGAACTTTCAGCTTCTGCATGATTTATTTCTTCTTGCATGGTTAGTGAAATGAGTACCACTGAATTAAAAAAAGAGAAAGGGTATTCTTTTTCACAGTTATGCCATTCACAGACGAATGTGCAATAGTTGAGTTTGCAGCATTTGAAAAAAAGGTGTTAATTGAATTCTGAGTGACAGAAAGTGAGAACACAGATTTTTCATGCTGTGAAACGAAACAAGGCCACTGGATTAAAAGAATAGACATAACCTTCAAGATTTTTTATGGTGTTACGGTGTGAAGAGAAATTTTGCTGTTGCATTAAACTAGTGTGTTGAATTAAACCAGTTGTTTTTTCTGGTCACTGCAGCATTGTTCAGCTAGAATGAACTCTTTATTTATATATTTTGTTTTATACAAATTACTGCCAAATAAATTTTTTGAAGGTTTTTATGTTTGACTTTAATTTTTTCACACTTAGAATTACCAGGTTTGTTGACCCAGCCCAAACTGCTGCATTAAACAATGGCAGGCTGACTGTGGATTTTGTGCACACACCTATATACAAAGCTTTTCCCCATCATATCAAGCTGGCAAATGGCTCCACTGCTATAAGGCAGCAAAAAAAGCTGTCTGCTGTAAATCAGAGTAACACCTTTTCAAGAATATGAGCCATTCATTTAGTCAGTGTGTACACTTCCTTAGGAATATCCTAAATCCCATTTAGAGTGATATTTAAGTAAAGATCAAGGACAAAATATTGTTATGTGGCAACCTTGTTTTACTGAACTGCATTCTTTGTTTAGCATATATACAAGCTTTTCTGCAGAGTTAAGAGGACCTGTAATGTCTTTCATAAAAGAAATTCAGCAAAAATTGAATGTGCAGTGTTTTCCATGCTTATATGTGGATATAACAGGCAGGAATTAGATATTTCTTAAATATGATAAGGTTATTTATTTCTTTTCCTTATGGCATAACAGCTGGCAAAATACTTTTGAGACAGAGAGATATAGAGCTATCCTCTTATAAAGTACACTGAAAAAATATAGCATATGGAGAGTATTTGCATAATGTACAGTATCTGTGATGAGAAGGTAGATTTTCAGCTTTTTTTGCATAACTAGAGCCTTATATATAATATAGTAAGTTGAATGAAGAATTGCTTCTTAATAAGGTACAGAATCCTGTTTGGTGGTTAGTTTATTTATTGTCTTTTGAATTTCAATGTATTATCAAGCACTTCTTTTTTGAATCAGTTTATATCTGGTTTTTTACTTCTTTTTATATATCTATATATCAAGTATATTTTAGCCTACTCTTACATATATAATGCTAAGTAATTAATGCACAATGTGGCTGTTATCTTTCAATAAATATTCTGTCTGTGCATACACTCACAAAAACACAAAAATACTAAAGGTGTATTTCTCAACATACAATGTGTATGAAATCAGGAGTTTGTTTTAAAAACCTGAAATGTCACACATTAAGGCAATCATGTTGTTGTATTTAGCTAAATCAAAATGGAGCACAGTCTTTTTCTACACACACAAAAAGTCATGCACAGGGCTGAATGTTTCATGCTACAAAATATAGATAATTTTCTTTATTAAAGTTTGCCATAAACTTAAAGTGCTAATAAATAACAGAACTTTGAGGAATGTAGTGACTATATTTTGTTGTATTTGTTTTTTGTGAAAAATATATGCAAAAAACTAATGCATCTCATTAAAGAGGTATGCTGGTGCCTTGAGAGATAATACAAACTAGAAGATAAGTCTCTGAGAGTAGAGGAAGTTACTACACCATTTTTATGTGTGTTTCTGTATTAAACTAGCTATATGCACCGTGTGGTTGGCAGTGGAATCAAAGCTCAGTCTGCAAATCCAGAAGAAAAAGTGAAGGGAACAGATCCTGTAATAAGTCAAATGATTGACAAGCTGAAGCACGTTATTCAGGTAAGGTGCTTTTTCCTATGGATACATTATAGTTCTAACTACCACTCCAGTAATGAAAGTGTTAATTTAGTGCACCATAAAGGTTAATTCGAGTTTCTGCTGAGTGCACATCCACAGCAAAACACTAGTTGCACTCTGTCTTGCTTTAGTTATTAAAAAAGATTTAGTTAAAAGGTTTGTATATGGTAGATAAGTGTGGGAAGTGAGGCTCTGGTAGCTGGGCCATCTGTACCTGCGCATTCCACGGCTCAGCATTGCAGTGACCGTACAGTAGCACCGACAGGATGATTTAGAGATATCAAGTGGGTGCATATGTTTACGTAACAATAAGACATAATTTCCCTCTTCCTTCTTTACTAAGTCTGGGCTCTTTCTTAATGTGTACTGCTGCGAGGTTTTTTGTTTAGATGACAGATAGAAAAACTAGGAAGTTTGAATGAAAATTACATGCCTGCTAAACGAGTTGGTGTTTGCTGCCTGATGTGCATACCTATGACTTACTACATTTAAGGCTTACAAGAAAGTCAATTCCAATATGATTCTGTAAAACCATATGTAATAAGTTTACAGGATTGTAGGTATTTCTGGTTACGTGCCACATTTATATGCACAGATAGCCAGAACTAGAGGACAAAAAAATAATTCTGTTGAAGGCAACATTTATTTTGCCAACAGCTCTGTATTTCAGTTTAAAAATACAAGTTTTCACTCTGATCTGAAGGCTCAGTGACCAGAAGGGTTCTACGGGCATTTTTTGTCAGTGACCCATTTAACCTAGTAACCTCTCCTCTGCGCTGGTAAAAGGAGAAGCTACTTAGGGAGGCCGTGAAGCTTCTCACTGTTATTGCCACCCCTTCCCTTCTCTACCCCATTCCCAAAACAAGAGAATTAGCGATATTAAATGTCTTCTCCTTGCCTAGTGCATTTAAATCCATCTAAGGACTCGCTTTAATTTTGTTTTTACATCTTCTTGACAGCTTTTAAGTACAGTTTCCCACATGGTTTGTGGAGTTGAAATATTACTGATAGCTTTACGGTAAAGCCTCTTGGTTCTTATATCTCTAATTGTGAGCAATAACTCTCCTCTGACAACAAAACAAGAGTGCTGAAATAGTAAAAAAAGAAAAAAAGAAAAACCAGAAAAATTTCTTTTCCATCAGTAGTGTTGTTTTCTAGGAGAAGTGGCATTAGATCTGAAGTTCAGAGGCAATCATTATTCTTTCCTTCTTAAAAGAAATATCTTTTTTTTATCCCTCCAGCTTCAGCATCTTGTCTCTCTTCTTTATTAAAATGCCATCTACAATGGTGGGAAAAATAAATGCAATTTTCCCTACAAGAGATGCCATGATTTAATTAATAACTACAAAATACTATACAAAGATGAACTTTGTAAATATTACTTGGTAAGTTCCATCTATCAGGAATGCTTTCCTCCTTTTATATTAAAACTGCTCTATATAGTTTATTGTGTTGGTTTCCTCTAGAGACTTGAAGTTGTGTTGTTTTCTCCTTGAGTGAGTACCTAAAAGACTGGAATAGAATGTTTCCATTATAAAGTATTTCATTTTGAGAGCTTACTTGCCCTTGTCCCTAAAGACTGGAGTGGATCTTGGGGAAAAGGACATACAATTTACATACCAAAATGCTTACCAACCTCCAAGTATATTTTCTTTCTGTGGGATAGTTTCTTTCCTTGTAGCTCTGTGTATGAAAATAGGGTCAAGGGATAGAGAGAGCATCAAAATCCTTAAGAGACCTGACATATAACTGCTTTTCCCCAGCTGAAGAAGCTGCAAAAAAGCTTTTCTCTTCACCATTTTGTGCTTGGGAAAAGAAGATGAGGAGTGTAAATTAGAGATTCAAACACAAAAGATTACCTTTTTGTCTTGTGTGATATGAAAAAAGATCACATATTAAGCGTACAATGGGCAGAAAATGAGGGGAATTTAATGGATTGTGGTGATGCTTCAGAGACAGAGTCATACTTAAACCTAACACACTATCCAAGCTGTATTACTGAACTTCAAAATTTTAAATAGCTAATTTAATAGGATTAAAACATATTGATGAAGTTTTTCAAAACTAATAATTTCTGAAATTTACAAACTATATACTTTAATTCATCTTTAGGGTGAAAATAGCAAAAGGGCAGGTATCTTTGAGATCCTTTTCTGCTCACATTTAATATTAACTTAGGAAAACAGATCAAGACCATTCTGCCCTTCACACAGAAATCGATGGATTTCTTAGTATCTCTTCCATTTTTTCCTGTTGGTTATGCAAAGGCATAAAAATTCCAAGCAAAGAATTAGCTTTAGAATATGTAAATACCCAATGTTAAACTGTATTTTCCAGGTTGTCTCCTGTTAAAGACTTTAAACCCCTGAAATCACCCCTGGTTGCATGAGTGACAATATCTCTTTTCAGCAGGCTGTGGTTTCTGGACAGTTCTCCTTTGTGAGAGACTCACAGTAATCCTCCTTTTTCTGTAAATAGTAGATTTACCAAAAAATCAATAGAAGTTTTTGCTTCTGTTGGACCTCAATGCCTGTAATCTGTGCCCTGGATGCTGCAGGTTCATATTCACAACAACAAAGTGCAATTAGGGGAACAGAAATGAACCAGTCAGTGCTGAATATGGCTTGAAAAAGTCACCTTCCTCTGTAGAGCTCCTTATTTGTACAGACTGTACTTGTACTTTCCAGAGTTTTAAATTATGGGCTCTTCATTCACTTATCTTCGTGGCAGGCAAATTATGGGTTCAGAGCATATCATTTTATGTACTGCAGTCTGCAACTATCACTCTAATAGGTAATCAAGGTAAGCAAAGTTAGTTTCATATTGCATAAATAGTAATGGGAATTATTTTCCTTTCTTCCCCAATAATTTAAAACCATGATTAATTCATCATTCCTGCAAGTACAAATACTAAGGTTATGAAGTAATTATGATATTTTTGAGCTGAGATTACAGGAAATTGGACCTTGGACTTTTTAGTGTGTTTCTTCTTTCAGAAGACAATCTCAGTCTCAAAAAGATACTACTTTTGAAAGTAATATACATTACTTGGAGCTTGTATTTACAGGTTAAATAAAGTCTTCCTCATTTTAGGAAACCTTGCCATAGCAGAAGATACTCCTATGTCTGCCTGTCAAAATTAGGAAGACCAAGTCTCCCTCTGGAGATCTGCAGAGGTACCTACCATTAGTGACTATACTGGAAATTTAAATGATTCTCTCAGGATAAATGATTTCCAAATTCTAGGTGCAGAAAAAGGCATGTCTTAACTTATTTGGAGAGGATCCCATCTTGCACTACTATGCCACTCGAGTGCTAGCTGATATGCATAAAATAATATTTACCTTCTCCACAAAGGGCTGCAAACTGTCCCTAGTGGAATTGGTGCTTACATTCCTTAAAGGAGTAAATGCCATTACTTAATATGACATTAAATGCTGGTGACAGTCTAATTTTTCCTTTACTATTTGTTATTATTATTGCATGGTGAGTGCTCTGTTTCACCATGCTGCCATTTGCCCATTCACCTGTCTCAAAAAGGCTGCAAAAATAGAGAGATGGGTCTTTGTTTTGACAGTGATTTGGCATGCTAACAACTAAATTTTCCATCTGCATTTTTTTAAAGCTTTTATCAATGTACCATAGCACAGTCAAGTTAATATGTGTTTTTGTAAGAGCTGTTCAAGTATGGATTGGAAATTGGGATGGAATATATTGAATGAACATGTTTTGAAATTATTCATACACAAGGTGTGGTACTTGCAATTGTGTGTACAGCTACAGCTGTATATATGTCACAAATTAGACATTTTGATTACTTTTTTAGTGACTGAAATGCAATTCTTTCTCATGGAATGAGGGAATTCTCAAGAGTACAGCGTTAGACAGATACATAGTTTGACACACTCTTTGGTAATATGCTCTTGGAGACTCGCGTTCTAAACTTTTCTTTCCCTTTTTCCTCTTAAATGCTTTCTGTTGATACAGTGTAACCTGCAGTTTGTACCTTTCGATAAAGGGCAAGTGAGAAGCAAAATTTCAGTGCACTTTATGCAGCAGCCATTCAACATTCACTGGCTTTAGAACTGTTTTCAGCTGTGTTTTTTCCTAAACTGCCTATTTATTTTTTGTTGCACGAGGAAAGACTTTCTCATGAAGTTTTTTTTTTTTTTTTTGTATTTCATATTACAAATGCATATCTAAATGTTAATTTTGCCTTAGATTCTGTTTTTTCCTGGGTTTGGTTTTTACACTTATTGGTTTCATCCAAAGTTAGAACAAATCTGTCGATAAAGAATAGCTCAGTATGTTGATTGTGTTTTTTCCCCAGTGATTTGTTGGCACTGCTTCTTTTTTTATTATTATTATTATTTATTTCTGGAAGTAATGCAATGCTACTGTCTTTTTGAAAGCAAACTCTTGAACAAATTCTTGTTTTGGCAAGGCATGATAGTAGAGTACTAGTGATGTAGGGATATCAAGATATTCCTACTTGACAGAGAAATCTATTTCATATTTGTTATGTGAACTGTTCCAGTCTTTTATCCCCTCTATGGAGAGCTGCCTCTGACTGCTGGCTGGTGCCAACAATATGTTAAGTGCTTGACTATTACCACTGTATGGAAAATATTGGCAGAATTCCTGTAAAAACATTAAGCAGTTAGAAATTAGGTGGGAAATTATTTTCTGAGGTTCATGTTTCTCCATTTAAAATGTACTTCAACTTCCAGCCTCAAAAGTACACAAAGTACAAAAATTTCATCTTGGGGATGAAAATGTTTTCTTCATAGTTCTGTGATGACAGTGAAGGTATAAACCCTTTCTGTTGCTCACAAAGGTGGCATTTGTAAGTCAACCACTAAAAGTTACATGAACATTCTGAGATGACTGTTTGTCTTGGAAAGTTATGTGTAAACTCAAACGTACATATTGTTTACAGGTAGAAGGCACTAAAAAAAAGTGATTAGGAAGGTGTGCAGTTTAGCTGATGCATCTCCCACTGATGGGATGCTTAGGGGGTAAATTGAGAGAAACAGTCACCAGACACATAGTCCTTCTGATCAGTAATTTAATTAAAAAACCAGTAATACTTTCCCTAGATTACTCTGTTTTTCACTAACTAGATTACCAGAGTTATTAAGGACTAATCAAAGTCCTGTTCATTTGGAACAAATGATTATTTTTGTGAAGTATCTCTGTTAAATAGGATTTATGCTGAAAGGAAAAGAGTATACATTGCACAGGGCTTTCTGAAATTGTTTGTTGTTCAAATTTGTATAAAACTCTTAATAAGGGCTAATTTGAAAATAAAAAAAAACCTTAACATTTGATTTTATGTTATTTTTCTCCTTGCATTTCTTATAGACTTGCACAGTGCACAGTGAGAAAACATATTTGTTGATACAGCAGGGAGACACAGCAATTCTTATCCATTTTTTGAAGAGAACAGTGGCTGAGAAAATAAAACAGCCTTCTCTAGCTACTTAGGTGGATAGTGACACTAACTCACATGAGTATACTCATGACGTATTCATTATGGTGCAGATCCTATCTACAAAAGTCTATTTTGCACCTAAAGTGTTTGCTGTTATAGCTGGTAAAAATTGTTTGTGTTAGGTTTTTTTTAGCAAAACAGGACCATTGTTCTACCTTCTCATTTTTAAGTACAATGATAAGGAAAGGAGAGTTTTGAGATTTTGGAAGAGCCTGAGGTAGCTCCACCTGCTCCTCATAGAGACCACCACACTGTACACTGTTATAATACGTACTTCTGAAATCAATATTGTTATTTCATTAGTAATAGATAGAGGAATATTCTCAAACTGACATGCTTGGAACAACATGTTTGGTAAAAAGGGAAGAGAAATGCAGAGCAGTATCAAATAGGACTTTAAAAGACTTTTTTGTAGAACTTTTATATTTTCAAATAGGACTTCAAAATTCAAAAGTTAAGCAGGATATCAACTGTCTAGTAAGAAGTGAAAATCAAACAGTGGCTCTGTGTGAAAACTGACACACATCATAAAGCCTTCCCATAGTTACTTTAATTGAAAACTTCTTAAGAGCAGGGGCTTAGCAACTAGATAGAATAATAGCACATCAGGAAGGAAAGTATCAACAAAAATTTGAGAAGCCACTTACTGTTCCTGTTAGTACTAATTAATGACAGATATAATCTGTCAACATCTCAGTAACATAAAGAAAATACTTTGTATGCAATCAAATACATTAAAAACTAAAAAGAAGTGTGAGACAGTAGGTACCATTAAGGTGTAAGTGCCATTTACATGGTCTTGCAGTGGTCTCCTCAGTGCCATGGAAATTCCCATGTGAGGGGCTCCTCTAGGTTGACATATCAAGGGAATAAGCAGGATGGCTGTGCTGGGTGTCAATTTGTGCACTGGTGCTGGCTGAGCACTTTGTCCCACCTTGATTTGTTAGCTGTGGACTGTGTACAGGAACAGAGAGTGTTCAAATACAGCAGCAGTTCTGAAAATATTGATGGGAATGCATTGCCTTTTGTCAGTGCAAATGTCACAGCTGAGGAGAATGCTACTGGGGGGCTGAGGGTTGGACTATAAGACCTTTAAAGGTTCCTCTCAAACCAAACTGTTCTATGATTCTATTGGCTCTATGGCTATACTGTGTGAACTCATATGCTATTAACACCAGGTAATACACATGAGAAGACCTGCCATAAATACTGTGGACATAAAAAGATGTTGTCAACAATTATAAAACAGCACAAAGGAAACAGGACTCTTTATCATCAGTGATCATAAGACCATTTCTTAGAATATGTGCAACAGTCATTATACATAATTGCAACACCTAAACCAAAACCACAACAGCACAAAATGCCTAAAAAACTGCCATGCATTTCAGAAGCATTTCAATGGTTAACTGTTAAGGGAAAAATGTTGCTGGTTACAGACTTGCTGTTGCTGGCCTGAAAAGTAATGCATCCTTTTTGAGCATGTTGAATGTTTTCTATTTGAGACAGACTATTTCCTTTTGGTCTCAGTCCTGGGAAATCCTCGGAGGCAGTGACCTGTGGAGAGCAATACAGAGCAAGTCATTTGCTGCAAGCATCATCATAATTTGTTCTCCTTGCCAGTTTGTATAATAAGCAATGTGGTCTGTAGGCACAAGAAAAATCCGTCTGGAAAGCAATCTGTTGCACTGAAATCTCATAAACAGAAATCTCATGTTATCTATGAGGGCTGTGTGTGTTGCCTAAAGAACTCATCTGCTCTTTGGAAGTTTTGGAATTGTGGAAAGCAGCAGCACAGTATAGGGCATTCAACTGCTTTTGAACTCTGTGGCTCTGAATTTGTGTGGATAACACAAAGTGCATTTGAAACTGTACCATACAGTTTAAAGTCACAAATTTTGCTCAGCACAGCCCTGGTTTTGTCTTGAGAAGGTAAGTCAGTGAGCAGTTGAAAAATCAGTACCAAAGGTGAAGTGTTTTATTTGCATGAAGTCTCAGCAAAGCTGTTCAAGACTATGAAGTAAAAGGAAATGTCAGAAACAAGCTGTGCTGTGCATTTTTTAGAGCAGTTTTCGTTTCAAGAGAGAATACAGAAAAAATACAAACATATCCTGGCAGGCTATGGTTATGGGCTAGGTTTGTGGGTAGGTTTCTTAGCTTCTCTCCAGTACAGAAATATGACGCTTTGTATTTAACTGACTGATGCATTAAAAAAAAAAAAAAAACCAAAACAAAAAACAAACCAAAAAAAAAAAACCACCAAAAGAAGCCTAGTAAGTATGCTGATTCTAAATTCCTTCTAAAACAAGTATATATTAAAAAAATACATTCATAGAAGAAAACTTGTCAAGATAGAAAAAATTGCTTTGATAATTACCTGATTCAATAGATATTTATATATTTCTTTACAAGACAGGTTAGCTATTACTTTGAAAAAAAAATTCAAATTTAGTCTTTAAAAAAACAAACCAGTCTTAATATACTTTATTAAACAGATTGTGGAGTCGAATTTAAATTCTTTAATGTGTTCATTTCTTTAAATGTCTTTTCAAAAACTTCCATCTTAAAAGTAATATTATCTTATTTGTTGACTTAAAACCAGCATACTTACCAGTTCCTTAATGCTGTGTTTTGACCTTTTTAACACTTGTCTGTGTCTGATAAGCTTCATCCTTAAGAGCAGACCAAAGAAAGCTTTGAAGAGGATCCAAACATTCTGCTGCCAAATACCCTCGCTAACTTGTTTGCAAAGCTCCATCCTTGTAGGTCGTACTTTGTAGAGAAAATGGAGACCCCTCTTTCTTATTCCTACTCTGGAACCAGTGATATTTGTACTAAGTGCTGTTCTGGCAGTGGGACATTTGATGGGACGCCTCTACTTCCTCTTTTCCCTGCACTCTTTTTGCTCTTAGTGAATCATTCAGCTTGATCTGTGGACTGCCTCACTGCGCTGATATAAACTGTAGGATAAAAAACCTCCAAGTGATAAACAATTAATTGGATTTCTAAAGAGAACCCTAAACCAATCCTGTAGCTATAAATTCCTAAATAAAATATGCAGAGTCCAGTTTTTCATGTATGATAATGTTTTGATTAGAAACTTCTAACTTGCTTGTCACTTCAGTTGAGCAAAATCATTAAAAGTAATCACTATCCTCATCTAGTTTTCTTGACGTGATTACTGTATAAGTCTCCTCATAGGTACACTGGCCCATAGGACAGGCTGTGTAAATGATGAAAATAAAATTTGTGAGGACTAAAGGCATTTGCTGATAGAAGTAATGTAAGCTAATTTTAGATAAAAGTGTTTTCCTTTATTTTCTGCCTGTTAATGGATGTATATTTACAGTGAATACAGAACTGTCCTATCCTTCTTCTATAATCCTTTAAGTATTCTTTTGCCAGGTCCAGTTTCCCCTTGTCAGCTTCTTATTTCTACTTCCTAACCCTCCCCAGTTCCTTTTCCTCTTTCAAATAATCACATGGTTTTCATCTTGTTCCTTAAAATACTTCCCTGTCACATTCAACATTTCTTTTAACAGGTATCTGACCTTTTATGTTTACAATTGGTATGCTGTTCTGGTACAATGACAACCCAGCTCAAAAGCAAGAATATTGTTTCCCATTCAGTCAGGACTATAACTAAAAAATTATTTTTAAATATCTGAGTTAACATCTTACTGTTAGCTGCTGACTAGTAATGGAGGAAAGGAGGCGAGGAGTGTATTATAACCTCTGTGAAAACTTTTGTCTTGATTGTGATGAAAGGGAGGCATTTTAAACTGCAAATAATGAATGACTATGATAAAAACACAGTGATAAGATTGAAAGAGGCTGCAAAATTCCAATTCTGTTACCTTGAACTGTAAGGGTTTTCTTCTTAATGCAGCTGCCTTGCCCTAACTCTGCCTTGCAACAGAACTATTTACTCAAGTCTATGCTCAATTTATCGAAGCACACAGATCTGGGCATACAAAAAACTGCAGCATAATATGTCAATAAATATAGTAACATTACTTTTTAGTGAAAATTTACAGACTTCTCTACCAGACCTGCACCACAGTAAAGCTACTGTTTATAAAACTATCCATCATTAATTCCTTTATTTCTTCATCTCCTAATTTTGCACCCTTGTAATTTACAGAAATGTAGCATCTGCTTTCCAAGTAAGTCTCATACAGATTTTGAAGAATCAAGTAGCATCAAAATCATGGAGCATGGTATTCAATAGTTGCATGGAAGCACTTTGGGAAGTGTTTTTATTTATTGTAATAATCTAATGAATTTTGTCTGGTTTTTTCCACCTTCTGTTTGACTGTTGTTCTCCTCTATCATTTCATTCATTAGAAGTCCTCCTCTAAACCTCTGTACCTCCATGCCACATTTTAATGTTATACACCTAGTACATATTTTATCATAGCTGTCAATTTTTCCCCATTCTTCTGTTTAAGAACTATTTACAACCTACTTGAAACCTTGTTTGAAGTGCCAGCCATCTGGTTCCTTTACAGTTCAGGTGCAGTTAGTTCCTTCTGTAACAGCTATCTTAAATTCTAGTGTCTACTGTTCTTAATTATTCAGATTTTTTTCCTTGCACTTTTTCTTCAATTTTAGATTAATACTGTTCCTCTGCTTCTTTTTGGAGGCATGTGGGATTCTGAAAGTATGTCAGTAAATGCTACTATGGAGGGTTTGCTCTTCAGTTTTCCTCTTAGCACCTTAAATGCTGTCTCCAGGGGTTTTTTGATTTTTTTTAATAGATCTATATGTACCCTGTATATATATAATATTTTCTCATATCCAAAAATTATTACATAACTTACCTACACAACTTACAGGTCTCACCACAGCCAGGTAAGGTACTGTGATTTCTTTAGTTACTACATGTAATAAGAGTGCGTTTGTTATTGCTTTTATTGCTTATGGCGGCATTCTGTGTAGATGCTCCAAAAACCCACTTGTTCGATTTTCTTTCAGCCATTTTAAGGAAGTTTTGTATGAGGAATCTGCTAAGACCAGAGTGTAAATTTAGGATTTAGCTGGTGAAGTGTGAGACATATCCATTTAGATACTTTTTAGAAAATACCATAATAATCAAGGAACAGACTTTTCTCTTTTTGCCATTGCAGACCACTGGGTTGGTCAGATTTAAGTGTGTTTTTCTGCTGGAAAACCGTAGATAAAGTCTGCAGGTGTTGCAAAGAGACATTTGTATTTTTGGTGTAAGTAAAATAAAATCTCATAAAATAGTCAACTTAATATATCTTGGAGGCTTATATGTGAAGAGGTCACCTCATAAAGCATCAGTTTTAAGAAAATTGTTTTCATACACATCAGTAAAAAGATGTGTATTTTCCTATCTGGGAGGAAATCCCTTCAGTTAGAAAATTTTGTGTAACACGTTTTATCGAGAAATAATGGTGTATGAAAACATAGCAAGTAATAAAATAGACAGTTTAGGGGAATTTTGAGAAAGCAATTATTTGCTTTATTTGAAGTTCTAAAAGAGAAAAAGTACTGGTTTTAAATGAAACTTCTATCTGAAAAAAATTGTTTTAACATCATATACTTTTCATTCTTTCTTATGTTTCCTATTAAATTCAATTTCTAATTGTTCCTAAAACTGCTTTTCAACATGAAGGAAAAACCCCTAAAAATAAATTATTAATAGAAACAAAACATAAAAGAAAGTATTTATAATTGAAATATAAGAACAAACAAGCAGCTATGAATATTTAAATTATATTTTTTCTATATTCGTATAATAGTTTATATTAAAAATTTTCCCTTACATAATTACTTTGTTATTTGATTCCATATTCAGCTTTAAAAAACCTAATTGGAGATTTTAAATTTTTAAAAATTGCATAACATGGAGAACTATACCCTCATTTGATTATTTTAAAGCAATCTTACATTAGACATTTTGGTATTATAGATCAACAAGGAATGTAATATGTGCACCCTGAGATTGTACTCTTTTCCTTTGTACTTCTATATTTTA